ATCTGCCCCCAAAATAGGAATTTGCAATCCCAAGGGTGACAATCACAACAGGAGATGCAGATTGACTAAAATCAAGTAAGCAAGAATCTGATAAACGAGAAGGGTGAAGCTTGATGTCATGGAAATGTAAATTTTCCAGGAATGGCAAACGAATTAAGTTAGGATTAAGAAGTAGGGAACAAGAAGAAGATGGCACAAGGGAAAGAAAAAGAATGGTGCAAACCAGAGAAATCAGGGCCAAAGAATGCAAGAAAGTTTAAGTTTTTCTTCAACAGGGAGAGAACTTCCCAAAGCTCAAGCAGGTAAAGGAACAATGAAATTCATCCTCCTCATTCACCTCACAAATGAAGGGAAGGAATGCCTGAAGAAGAAACTGGAGCTGAAGGCAGCATAAAGGACCATGCTACCCTTTTTGCAATGTCCATCATGTCAACCACAGGGAATGTGCCTCCATAGACTATAACTATTACACAGTCTGTGTTAGGAAATAGTCGTGTGTAGTCAGGTAGAAAAAGGCACATGAACTAGTGCTCATAGTTTGAAGAAAAAAGGAAATTAAGTTTCCTAAACATTACAAATCTTGTTAAATTGGCAAAGAAAATGTCTGATGTGTTCAGTGCCAAGGAAAATACTGAAGAATTCATGAGTGCAAAAGTATAGAGGGAGTTAACATGCAGGGAGGTGGAAGGATTTTGCTGCATAATAATGTCATTATGCAGTTGCACAAATCACAAGAAAACTCATGAGATTAGGTGGGAGTTGCCTAAGGGCTAGTGGAATGCAAATCTATAAGGCAGATGCAAGGGGATAGCTTTCTGTATGAAAAGGTGCGTATGATTTCGGTATTCTAGAACTCATACATGTATATGGTATTTCATTTATCACACTGATCTTTTCAAATTCATTTTAATGTTAAACTATAATAAATTTTTAGTAACGCATCACTAGTATTCTAAGATCATTGTATAGTGTACATGTATATTACATATATAGATCTATGTATCCTGTACAAAAGACATTTGAAAATTTTATCCTATATCCTTTTAAACTATATTTCACACACATCTCTGCTGAACTAAAACTATACCACTAAAAGTTGTGTGTTATAGGTACATGTACAGGTTTTGTTGGTTTGAGTTATTGTTCACATTGATGCATAGAATATTTGTAAAGGTAATGTAAAATGTCCTGTAAACTGCAGCAAAACACAAAAACTCTTACAAGAAATACATGTGGGGAATGCAGAGTTATAGATTGATGAGTACTACATGTACATACACATTTATGGGTGGTTACAAGAATCTGGCTGTAGAGTAATTTCTGAGCTAAGTAAACAAAAAAAAGTGTATCTTAAACAAAATTGCTATTTAACAAATTAGAACTAGGTAAATAATTTCAGTAAGTACACTAGAAATTTGTTTATTAATATTGTTAATATTCCATTACTTGTTTAACAGCACAATTTACCTGTGATGAACTAACTATATGTCTCTTATCCAATGACCAATCAGAACAAAGAACTTTGCCTTGGTGGCCTTTCAACACCCGACGAGGCTTGATATTTAAAGGTGGTAAAGGATCTAGTCGCTCAGCTACAGTATAAACTATTAAAATTTCATAATTAAAAAATATTATAGTTATATTAATATATATATATGTACATTAAATTTGTTCATATATTTACATTTTATTAATTTAACAATGGGAGATGTAATTTACACACATAATTTGATTAATTTAACTATGAATACAGAATACATAATTCAACATAATGATATATAGTTAATTACAGATATTTCTTTCATTATAGTTATAGCATATTGAAGCCTGAATTTACAATAATAAAACAGGCATCAACAGCAAAAAATTATAAATATAAATACTAAACCTTAAACTTGAAAGTTGTAATTATTAGCATCATTCAATCATGAGGAAAGCAACAGTACTGTATAAGCAATACCTAAAATAGATGTAAACATAGAATTTAAAATTTTTACTCATTACCTATAATAGTAAAGTTATTATTACAAATGTTATCAGATCATAAATAAACTTCACTTCTTAATGGTATCAGCTAATCTATCCAAGCCACTAAATATAACAATGAAATAGTTCAATATGTAGTTCTTTTCCACATCATGGAAAATAAATGCAAATGACTTACCTGTATTTAACATCTCTGATAAGTTAGTAATTCAGTTTTACCTTGCAAGTTTGAGCATGTATATGTATTTCATGCTAATGAGAACATAGCTTAAAAATTATACGCTTTATGAAGTATAACCAGACTTGTATAAACTAATCATAAATTAAACACTAAAAATCTGTACATAAGAGACCTATAACAAGAATAACTCTTTTTAAATTTATCATATATATATATATATATAATTCATATAAAAGCCAGTGTGTATCATGTCACATCACACTTGATTTCTCAAAATAGATGTCATAAAAGTCAAAATGCATTTATCCAAATAGAATAGATGGATCAGTGTTCTGCCTATTATGATTTTAGTGACAGGGTTGTAAGGGGACTATGAAACCTTAAAAGTGTAGTGAGTGTTGGTATAATAAGCCTAAAGTAAAGATGTAGTGTGGGATCACCAAGCCTAGAGTGCATAAAATTTATCATGAAAGTAAAAATATCGATTCGATTTTAAACTTAAATTGTTTATGAATTAAACTATTTCCTGTTATATCACCAATGTTTTTAGTAAAAAACATACCTCTTTAATCAACGGAGACTAAATTAAGAAATCAATAAATATTTTCCCAGTTTTGTTGTCTGTACATTTCATTTTAGTTTCAGTACACAGACTAACAACAATGTTATATTATACTTTTGTTGCTAAGCAACATGACATAACAGCCATTGCTGTGTGTTATTTATAACAGCATCCTCCCCACATTTTTACAGTTCATAACCCAGACAAATGATGGGTGCTTCAGGTTGTTGAAAATATAGCTTACAACAGTATATATATAAAAAGGAATAAATAGTTGTAATACTGTTAGTTACATTAATTGTTAATAGGCAATTACATCAACACTATAAAACAATAATGAACTTAATATAAAATAAGCATTACCTTTGTCAATCCCAGTTGTCATAATGGATAATGGCTGTGGTAATAGCACCCAAATGCGTTGGATATCCCATCTATCAGACAAAATTCAAATGCTGTTGTTAAACAAGCTAGCCATTATGGAAAATCAATTAAGGGTACAGAGCTGAGTGTTTACACCCACAACATCTCATTAATGGCTGGCTAGTTTATCATCAGCATTTTTACAGACAGTGACAATACTTATTTTACACATACATACTAGTGTATAGCCTGCAAAAAGTGATGGGGCAAGTACTACAATCCCTTACTCCAGAGTATACCTTAATCTCATATTTCATAGCTAACTGAAATTAATTTTGCAAAATCAAGCTGGAACAACAACAAAAAAAAAGGCAAAAAAGTGCAGAGAAGGTAGTCAAGCATTGGTAAATTCCTTTGTAAGCCAATCAAAATTGATATAATTCAAAAAATGAATTTGTGGCATATTCATAGAATAATTATTGGTAAAAATCAGTTCCATTAACAACTTCAAATATATAGAAAAGCCAGTGCATTTTGGTAACACTACCTTCCAAATCTCAACTTTCATACAATGTATTTAGAACATAACATTAAAGTATTCATTATTACCTCAACCAAAGTTTTATATAAGCTTTAAGAACTCATTATGTATATACTTAGAAAATGGATGTACGCTGTGCAATGGTCAGGGTGACTTTGAAGGAAGAGGTAGTGGCCAAATTAATAGTTGTAGATGTGCTTTCTGTTACCCGCCTTTAACACCAAGCTCTTAATGTCCTTTCACAGTGTTTCACATGATCAATTAATTGATGGTCATTGGATGCAGTGTCTTATGGGCCAAGGTAGAAAGTGGGTATAACTCAACGAACAGCTCTTCATAAAAGCCTTATTGTGGTTGTTGGAGCAGAAACTTCAGCTCAGTTTGTGTGTTATTGCAATAGTGGCAGCCATTTTTTCATTGCATTCCTCCATAGTGAGTGCTAGCTCACTCCCTGAGATATACAAGACGTTTGTGTGCCCTCCCCCACACTGTGTGTGTCTTTAATTTAATATTTGTGTGTGTGCGTGTGTGTGTAAGAATGTGGCTCCATTCTTTTGGCTATTTCAGATTTCCTTGAATACAATAACTTCAACACTTGTTTGGTCTTCTTGACATACTTAGGAAGGGGTATAGTCTGTGTGTGCACTTCACAAATTTAACTGTTTT